GAATATAGTAATTGAAGAAGTAAATATAGAAGTAGAAAAGGTAAAATTAGAAATTGAAGAAAAATAAATTAAAAAAAAAATTATTTTTTAAATTTGTCAAATAGAAATTGAATTGTAGGTTAGGAAATTAGAAAACTAAGGAGGAAAAGTATAAATATATTGAAGATTGGTATATGGTATAGATGAAATAAAAGAAACAATAAAAAGAAAGGTAAAGAAAGTTTTATTTACTTAAAAATAAGGGTGAATCGAAATAAAGAAAGGCAGAGCAGTAGCAGAAGGTCTCAGGTTCGAATCCCACCGTTGGCCGGGATTTTTTCATTTAATTTAATTATTTAAAATTAATTCTGATGCCTTGGTAGGATTCCCCACTCGACCATTCACTGTTGGGTTCTAATTAACAGTGCTGTTCCTAAAGTGGCGCTGGGAAACAGTAACAAAGCCTACACAGAACACGAGGCTAATGGCCGTAGTAGTCGACGTCGATTACACCAAATAAAAAAAAAAGGAAAATTTTTATTTATATGAAAGCCCAATTGTTACGTTAGATATACAACAACGAATATTTTCTTGTTTCTTTTAAAATCGGTCGTTTAGATTTTATCACGTGCGTATAATTTTTTATTTATCTACGTATTTATTATTAAAGTTATTGTTTAAAAAATTACCTACGTTGGACAGAAGTACCATCGTGTTGATAGGTACATATCGCCGACATCTAAATTTTTCATTTCGAAATATTATCCATATCTCAAAGTGGTCCGAAGTAGATTAAAGGGAAGTAAAAAGCTTAAAGTCTGTCGACCACATAAATTTATTAGGTTGCAAGCGCTTTCGACCTAAAAGGTCATCATCAGGCAAAAAATGTTTTGTAAGTGAGTAGGTACAATCACTATGAGTCCACAGAAAAATAAGTATGTTGAATTAAAATGTAAAATTTAAGTAAACTGTAAAATGTAAAAATTGTAAAAAAAAATGGCACACACTGCCAACCTCGAATGAGTTATAGGACTACAAGCACTAATACCAAATAACACAAGCCAAATACCTCGGAATCATATTTGACCAAAGGCTGACGTAGAATAAACATCTCAAAAACTCGCACACAAAGATATAGTAGCTCTTGTAAGCTGTAGAAGATTATGTTGGAAAAACTGGGGTCTAAGCCCCAAAATGACCTATGGTGCAGTAGCGTGGGTAACCCAAATAGCGCAGCAATTGGAAATGAACCGGATTCAGCAGCTCGCCTGTCTAAGTACCAACTATATAGTGCAGATCCTACGAGGCTCTACCAGCAAATGAAAAAGGATGTGAATCTAGGAATGCCTAATTATATAGCCATAACCACATATAAATTTTAAGGAAATTTTTAATTTCAGATACCAGCTCGAGAATCCCTTCAGGGAACTCCTATATAGGCTGAACTCGTCTGGTTTATAGACGGTTCAAATACTTATAAATAAGCTGGTGCTGGAATATTTGGATTCAAGTCTAAAGCAACGATTTAAAAGAATATACAACAGTGTTCCTGGCTGAACTAATAGCCATACAATTTCGTGCAAAAGAAATATTAAATAAGCCTGTATCAGGCAAAACTATTGCCTACTACTCTGATAGCCAAGCAGCTCTAAAGGCAATTCTGTAACCAGAATTCAAATAACGACTGGTCAAAGACTGCCTAGAAGACCTGACAGAGCTAAGTAGTCAAAACAAGATGACCCTAGTCTAGGTGCCAGGTAACGAGGAATATCAGATAAGATAAGGCTCAGATAAGGCCATGACAGACATTGTAAAACTCATACATCAAACAATGGATGCAAAAAGAGTCTCGGCCAAGTTCACGAAAGACCTACTGGATCCAGTAGGTCTTTAACGTTTTTGATCAAAAACATCAAATTGTTAGGATAACAGTAGGCCTTCTTACCTGACAATATCGCCTAAGAAGGCACATAAGTGTCATCAATCCGGCAGAAGTAACACTGTGCAGGTTCTGTGAAGAAGAAGACGAAATATCAATACATGTCCTGTGCTAGTTTACAGGCCTGGCTAGAATAAGGTTTCTTACATTAGGCGAACAAAATCGAGACGCATGGAACTACATGCGGGAGCAACTGTCAAAGTTACTAAGTCCAATAAAAAAGACCAAGGTCACACCCATTCAATACCATTAGTTTGTTAAATCAGTTTTTATCGTACTTAATGCATTTTCAGAAGACACTTTTCTGTTGTAATATTGTTGCAACACACTGTTATATGTAAGTATGCAACTTTACTAATCTTTCTTCCCTTTCTATATTGGACAATTTTTTATTTTAAGGGCCTGAAGATGACCCAATAAGGCCGAAACTAGTCGCTTAGTATTTTGTGAAATAAATTTTGTGGTATTTATTTTGAACTTCATTCATTCTTTCTGTAACAAATGATATTAGAAATTTAAATTGTCAATATTTTTTAAGAGCTGTCAAATTTAAATGGGATGAACTGCTATAATGCAAAGACTTAATTGCGCCATTAAATTTTGACGTTCACATTTCGCTTTGGTCAACTGTATTTGGCTTACTAAGACTGCGAAACAAACTTCTTTCAAATCAAACCAATATTTTTCAATTTATTTCTTAGAATATACAGTAGTAAGGAAGGAGCGTGTACCATATTTCCAATAGGAAACGTACATGAGAAAGTCGGCCATTTTGATTAACGATTTATTACTCATTGATTGTTTATGTGTCATTTGAAAGTTGGTTTTTATATTATATTTTGCAAGTTATTGGGTGTTCAATAATTTGTAGTCGAGAATAGAATAGTTAATATATAAGTTCTTATTTTAGTTCAATAATACAAAATCTTAGTGCAATAAATATAGTGATAAATGCAATGGTTAATTGTAGTGCTCGTCGATGCTCAAAGACTGCTAAGTCTAAGTAATATGTATTTTACATTAAATTTTATGCACCATAGTTGTTTCTAACCTAAAATTGCCATTGAACTACCTTTATTATATTAGGTTATAGTTATGATTTGGTTCATTGAACACAATGTTATAGCGTGTGTTAAGAACTTATTTCAAGCAGAAAAAACTTTTCGACACCTATCTAATAATGGAAAATGTAAAATAGATTGTTCTGTATTTTCCAGGTAAAAACCTACAACCCTTTGATTAAGCATTGTCAACAAAATTGTACATACATATATAGAGTCAGAAGAGAACCTTTCTCATTGCCCTCGTAAAAAAAAGCTCAAAAGACGAATCCAAAACTTGGAAGCACAGAATGAAGTCGAGAATATTAAGGAAATAACAGCAAACCATATGGAGACAACGGAAAGTTATCAAATCTTTAAAGAAAATAATGCTAGTACTCAACAAAAAAATTGATTATGGAGGAAAAAGAAAATGTTGTTTTGGAAAATTTTGGAAATTAAGAAATTGTTAAACGACTATTTAGGAAAGCCTTGGGCAAGAGTGTATCTAAGACATTCATCATTCCTTACACTACATTCTATTTCCATTAATCATTCCAATACCATCAAACAACATAATTAACTGGGTAAAAATTTGACAAATCATTAAAAATACTTTGTTTTACTGAATTTTTAATCTAATAAAAATATTGCACTTTCAAACAATATAAATATAATAGATAGGTACATCACTGGTAAATACTAATGTCAAGTAGCCATCTTGGAAAACCATCCTGGTGACATTTAAAAAAATTGTCAATAATAAGCGTAGCACTTATTAAATTACCTTAGAAAGTAACTCACTTCATAATCTATTAAGTTCCTTTTAGTAGTGTGACAGCTGCCGTCGCTTTTTATACCAACATTCCTAAAAATACCACAGTTAACAGCTTTCCTGAAAAACTTTTATTTAATAAATCATAACTTACTTTTAAACTTGATCGCCCCTGTAAAATTCCTCACTAACCCCAAACACACAAAAATAGTGCTTCAAAAATTGATCTACCCACCCTCACCCGACCGCTTTAAGACAAGGTCGACCCGATTCCATATAACATTCAACATTCGACATTACAAACTAATAATAGTTCAAATGGGAAGTCGGTCGAAACAAAAAAAATACCAAAATACCGTTAGGGTTGTAAAACGCAGACGATATTATAAGGGTATTTTTAGAATTTAGGTAGTAGACGAGAATGTCGCTACCCTGTTAAGGATGCTGTAAATTATTGCGGTGCGTTAGTTACAACTTAGAAGTGTGTAAAAATAAACACATATTTGTCTTGTTGGGACATAAAATTTTAAGGGGTTTCTAATTCTTAGTTTATTTTATATAGGGTGAATTGTAACCAATCGCGAATTTCATAATAAAATATTGTCCCAGCAAACAAGCTGACATTTCTACGTCATTAAGAGGTCATCATCACTAACGTCAGGATGACTTCTAAAATGACGTCCAAATGACGTAATTAAAGGGCTCGGCGGATGAGGGTATTAAGCCACTCCAAATTAGTTTGGAGTAATTAATATTTTAATATTTCATCTAAATCATGAAATCACATTTACAAAGGAAACAATAAGTAATTTTTTTTCAGTTTAATACCAACATAAAATTTATTTTACAGACTAATAATAATATCCTAGATAAGAAAAAATGAATGAACATATAACAAAAAATGTGGCTTGTTAACATTTTAAACTCAAATTTTTATTAAATTTATTTGTAAACTTAACTTAGTCAATCAAAATTCAAACATCATCTGAGACATCTTCATTGTCATCGAAATGTTCTACATGCCTTCTTCTATATCTCCACTGCTGGAGGTATATAAGGAAGGACTGCTTTGAGATTTCCAAGTTTCTTTGGATTGATTGCCATGAAACTGTTATACTTCAAGGGAAGCACGCTACACGTTGGGAATTTTGTAAACCTCTTTTTCCAATACTAATGGATTTAAATGACTCATTCAAATAGTGTGTTACAAACATTGTATTAGGATGTTCTGTTTTAAAACGAAAACATCTGTATATAAATACTTGACCTGTGTTGCAGTTGCAAGATTATACAACCAAGCTTTTCTTAAATAAAAAGCTTTTCCTACATTTAGGTCAGGGATTGGAAGTGCCTGCTGAAGATCAAACGATAATACTAGCTTCTGGTTTTGTGTTTTAGCCTCGTCTATTTCCTGTTTCATGTTAGCTTGGATTGCTTCCTCTCTTCTTTGATGTAAGTCTGACTGGATTTCTATTTCTTTTAACTTTGACTCATTATCTTTATTTGACTCCATTAAAATCTTGTTCTGGTCGCATGTATCGCACTACTGCCACTATCACTACTTGGTTCCAAGTAATCTTTATCTTTAAAACCATCATCTAAGTCGAAATTTGATTGGCTAGAACTAGAACTATCATTGTTTTCAAAGACTTTACACTACCCTAGGCGCGGCCATGCTGATTTATATGTGGCTGTTACCAGGGCTGGTATATCTAAGGGGGTTGCGACAAAGACCCAGTAAATGGATGAGGGGTTGACTAAGACTAGGGGGGAAATAGTAGTCAGCTTAAGTTGGCAACACTTTTCTGATGTTCGTTTGGCGATCCTCCATATCTATGGGCGAAATACACGGTTATCATTTGTCCTGCCGTAATAGTATTATAAAAACAGAGACAGATCTACTTTTAACGTGCATCGTGCATAATAATGTCAATATGGTACAAGTGGAATGAACCACTGTTTTCCTCGTAGTCCAATGTCGAATTAAAACTAAAAACATTTTGTACTTTTTTATATACCAAATTATGCAATTTGTTTCCACTTTATTTTATTGTTACATGAATTGGTACATGCGTTTGTGCTATGGTAAATAAGTGTTCATGTGAAAAATATCTCTGAAGCTCATCTCAAAACTGAATGTTGTAAATCCAGGATTTAAATCTTTCATAGTGTTGCTTGGGATAAATTGTAAAAAAAATGTTGGACAAAACGTTTGCAACCTAAAATTGCATGGAAAACATCATAGAAGAAGGAATTTTACCTTTATGACATTCTCTTTCAACATTTTTAAGTGACTAAGTTTGTGGTTTGGTGAATGGACTGTTACCACAGTCAAAAATTCAAATTAAAAAAAAGTGACTAAGTTCTAATAAGAATACCTACATAAGTTGAATATAAAAATGTAATTACTTGATTGAAATGTGATTTAATTAAGAACTAAATAATATAATAATAATAATATAATAATAATACTCTCCCTAATTCACCCCCTTACGAGTGAATTTCAACCCCTGAAATCGACTGAATGGCTTATGTAGGGGAAGGGACGGCTATTATTAATATTTGCCGTGGCGCTCCGGAGCGACTTAAGGATGATTGATGGTGCCATTTGACTTAAAGGTGAGGAAAACCCGGAAAACCTCACCCACCATCATATCATATCAAATAGATGTTTCATATAAACAAAGTGATGTAAAATGTTAATAAATGCAAAACCATTATTAAAGAGAAATTAGTTATCATCAATAAGATATTTTGTAGTAGCTGGTCTCTTTAAATAATAAACTTGAAAGACTGTGAATTAGTAGTCACTTTTACACTAAAAGTAAAAACAAAAAGAAATATGTGTGGTTGAGACTAATTTATGTATTTAATAAAAACATATATTTAACATGTTTTATTTAAATAAAAAACAGGTGTTATTTGAAATGTTTTATTTAAGTTTAATAATGTTTATAAATTGTGGGTACATTTGATCCGAATCTTGCTTAATACTATAAAATGCATATGCAATTCTATATGGTTAGTATTGGAGTAGAAGCACAAAAGTTTTGATTAAAAATATATTCTTTATATTTATATATTCACTAGATATGCTAATTTAGGTAATTTTCTATTCGAAGCCATACATGTTTCCTATTATAGTTTTCATACGTTTATAATTCTCGAGATACTAAAATATTCTGCTTGATTACTAAACTACTAAACTTTGGTTGTTCTTATTGTGGTCTGCTGTTAACACTATTGTCCTGAAATATTAAAAAAGCTAGACAAAGGTTTGTCCAACCCTTTTGTTAGCTTTGTTAATCTATGCTACTGTTATTCTGCATGCAAACATTTTTTACTGGAGATTTTTTCTAAGAACTGTATTCGGTTTCAAATTTCGGCCAGTTTTAGGAAAGTGCCTCTGTTGTAAAGGTATTTCAAAGTCATCCTTTGTAAGATGTAGCCTACAAATACATGCTAAAATGTATAGAAAACAAATCGCAAGATATTACACAAAATTATTTAAATTTAATAAAAACATACAAATGAAGTGAATAATACCTACCAACAATTTAAAAATACCTAAAATAAGTAGACTTAGGGGAGTGGAGCTCTAAAAAAGGGAGCCGTAATTTGTTATGCATCCTCATCTATAAGAAAATTGTCTTCATCTCTTTAATTACCTCTTAAAATAATCCAAACCAAAACAGCACAAAATTTAAAGTGATCTACTTTTCACGACGTATTCTATGTACATGTGAGATTATTAATAATTTATTAAATTGAAATATTTTATCCTAAAAAATATGGACATTTTATAATGAAAATATTATTTAAACAATACATTGATTTTTTTCTTATATTGGTAAGCCTGGCGACTACAGGTTGCCACGTTGCCAGATCAATGGGCGACTACTATTTCGAAAAAAATGGCGTCCAAAATGGAGTCCTATGTCGCGACCCCCTTAGATATACCAGCCCTGGCTGTTACCTTCTCGGGTCAGAGATGCTCGTAAAATGAGATTGGGTAAAAACGTATTTATTGCACAGTGTTGCCACTGCTTCTACAAAGTCGCTGTTTCCCTTTTTATGTAACCAACTACATATTTAAACTGGAAAATGTGGTTTGTTACCCTCTTTCGCCGAGATCTTCCATTTTGACTGCTTGAGTTACAGATGACGTCATTTTCCGTAATGTTGACGTTAAGGATATGTTAAAAAATAGGTCTTATAAGGAGGTAAAATACATATTTACAACCAGTTGCAGTAAACTTGATTAAAGCTATCCACCTATTACATTTTAATTGAAGGTAAAAATAGTAATGGTGATAAAAGTTCTCAATATTCTAGACGTCAATTTAAAATTTACTTAATGGTTAGCAACAATCAAGCTTTCTGAAAATAGCCCGTAGCCACAAAATATAAACATAAACATGATTAAATTTTTTTAACAATGTTCCAATGGACATATGGCTTACAATTATGGAGTGATACCAGAAAAAGCAAATACAATTGCTAGAAATAGTTCAAATCCGAATTTTCAGAAACATAGTTATGGTTGGTATGTTCGGATTAAAGATCTGCACCGAGAAACCCAGGTTGAATCAATTTCATAAGAAATTAAGAAAATTTCCAAGATACATGAGGAGAGTCAAACATATCAACATTAAAGTACTCCAATTTTTGGACAAACAGGATGTGATGCGTAGACTTAAAAGAGTAAAATACTTTTAACTTTGTGAAAGTGATAAAAAGGAGTTAGTGTTATGAGTCACAATATTAAAGTGGCAGAATATGTTAATAACTAGTATTGAATTTGGGTGAAATTTAAATTTAAAATTGGTAGTAAATTAGGTTATTACAAAAATGCTGATTAATTTTGTACGATTAGATGTATTCTGGGGTTCTTTATCCAAAACTTACCTGAAACCCCTGGAAATAATACAGAAACGATTCCTCCGAATAATATTGTGTAAAAACTTTCGGTATTCAAGTGATGCTCTATATGATGAATCTAAAATATACGACATTAGACAACTATACTATATTCAATTAAATGTAAAGCAATACCTTAATAAAAATGATCTAGTAAGCTCAAATCATGGCTATGAGACTCGTCAGAAAGAAACATTTTTAATACCATTTATGAATAAGTCCATTGATCAAAAAAGTTATGCCTATTTAGCTCCTAAATTATTCAATTCCCTGCCCGAAACGATAAAGAAAACAACAAATCTTATAAAGTATAAAAACCTATTGAAAAAATTTGTCAGTGGAAAAAATAGAATTGAAATCCATAACCTAATAGAAAATTAAATATAGATTGGCAAATTAAGTAGTAACAAAAAAAAAAAAAAAAAAAAAAAAAATTCTATCCCGTTAGCGAAATATGTCTCAGTGAGTATGATATTGTTTCTAATATTAGTTGTTTAATAGCTTAGCTGTATATTATATTATTATTATTATTATTACTATCATCATTATTATTCTTATTAATATCTTATTCTAATAGGTACTTCTTACCAGAGATACTTTATAATCCTTAATCTTAATTTTTAATTTTAAGTAATACTTGTTATGGTACTTTCTTCTTTTTTTATATATATTTGTTCTGCCTACACACAGGTTATAACCTCGTAGGCTTATTTTGGATATTTATAGGCTAAAATTACTCGATTGTATATATATATTTGTAAAATTCAAATTGGCCAATAAATATTATTATTATTATTATATTAGAAAAAAAATATTATATTAGTTAATACACTTTATTTTTATAAACTATAACTATAAAAACTGTAAAATTGGACTAATTAAACTTATTTATTTTAATTCTGATGAATCCATATGTTACATAACAGATAATATTAATAGTACAACAATTTATATTATAAATACAAATAACAAACTTACTGATAGATGCACAAAATCTTAATGTAGTGCTCGTATAAAGTAAATGAACGAAACAGAGAAGGAAAACCATAAATTTTGCAACGAAAAACAAAAAATAATCGTAGTGTAAAAATAGTGATTTTAGATTTACTTAAAAATATAATCTTTCAACAATCGCGAAACAACTAATTAATAGATTAATGAGGATGCTGCAACACAGATTTTAAACTTTATTTCTGTAAAACTACTAATAATAGTCATAATTGAGTTCACTTAAAAAAAATAAAATTGTAACTTCATGTTAAAAACGATAAAAATGGTTTAGTTATCGGCATAACATATATGACCGTTGTTGCCACCTTTTAAAACCCATTCGCAACGCATTCTTCATCAGATAAGAAAATACTCAGCTGTCATTATAGCGTTCAGTTAATAAGCATAAAAATAGAGATTCTGCCATAGGTGGTAATCACGTACTATGTTTAAATTAGTCAGAGAGAAATAATATGCAGGTACCCCGAAATATATAGTAAACTGTCAACTAAATAACTCATTAGATAACTTTTTTAACCTGACCAACCCATAAAAATGAGGAATTTGTTGAAAATTATTCTAAAATTTGAATTTTAAAAATGT